CTTTTTTTCAATGCAACTTTTTACAATTTGCTTTTTGTAGATGTCCACTATCATTTATAAAAGGGGTTATAATAATTAAAAAAGCATCTGTCATCCAAAGCAAAGAAAGTTTTACACATTTCTGCGTTTGAATAATTGAAGCAAAATATGCTTTTCCATTTTTTGATCTGAGTAACTAAACACCACCTCGTGAGTTAGGCACAGATAAGTATGATTACTTTACATTTTTGCTAATTTTACTTGTTTACCAATCCGGCCTTTATCATGTTCTGACACCAGAAATGTCTGGTTTTGTTCTTCTATTCTAGAATTTCTAGTTATAGTCTGGTCATAAGATAAGTTTTAATTTTTAGTTAAATAAAACTACATTAGGAAGGTAAAAAATATGTAGGTTATTGGTAATTGAAGCTAGATGTTTTGGTTGTACCAGACCTGTGCGTAAACAAACAAGCACCATAGTCATGATCGGTTGTATATCGACTGTCGATACGAAGTCGTAAATATTCACCTTAGGTATCTGACACGGACACAGCAAACAAGAAATCTGTTCTGCAAAAATTTTACTTCTTCTGTCATACCGATAAACATCTGTAGGGTCATGGTCTTTAATGTCTATATTGAAAACAACAGCAGGCACACATCGATACCGGTGTACCCACGTAGTGCTGCAGTGGACACTGGACAAGGAGTAGTTTCACCAAAATTATGTTCATGGTCGGTTTCAATCTCACTTCTATTTTGATTCTCATGAAGATGCTTCAATTTCGATAACTGCAAAGATTTAATATGTTTGTCAAATTTGTCTTATAAATCGAGGACATTTCTCGATTGCTTCGTCGACCATCTTGTAACAATAATGTGTAAATGGAGACTTTTATTTGACGGCGTTGCGGAATCCGGAAAAACAGCACGTGCAAATATGCAAATTCTTTCTATCACGTGATTGCTATCGGTCTCTACCTTAAATCATTTTAATCAAGAATAATAGGACCGACGACATCCAAAAATATGAGTTCAATGCTTAAATAAAATCTTGATGTCTAAAACAATAGTATTTCCCTGACGTGCACACGTAGTACTACTTACTTTAAAATATACTATATATGTGCCAATACTCGTATTGTGAAAATGGTTATGTCAATTGAAAATAAACAAATGCAACAACCAAGATGTTTTTAAATTAAATATGTGTAATTTCTCCACATTAAAAAAACTTCTTTATCTTAGATATGACAATTTTATTATTATTTTAGTGTTTATGAAGTAAATTTCTGACATAGGATTGATTGACGACATGTTCTTGTACTTCTCTTTCGAAGATTTTCACTGCTTTAAAGTCTTCATTATATATCAATTGGTTTTTAGCCGGGCTTATTGCTCAAAGAGCAATTGCCGGCTTATGTCATCCTGTTCAAGGCAGGAAGTCAACCCCATAGTCGCCATTTTAAAGTTACGAGTAAAAATATAGTTATTACTCTCAACCGCTTTTGAGATAATACAAACGCTAAATAAAGCAACAAAAATAAAACGAAGTTTTATCATATAAAACATTAGTAGTAATGACTTTGAAAACTTCAGTCCTAAGTCAAAGAACATATTTCATTAGCGCAAGGATTTTTGATAATCAGTGTTATCGTAGTTCTCTACACATACGAGCTAAAGCAGGAGAGGGAACCAGACTGGCCTGTTTGTTTACATTCAGCTGCGGTACCAGATTAATTCAGATTCTGACAAAATTGGACCGTGGTATTAGCACTGTCAGTGTCTCATCATTTATATTGATAGTTTTAAAATAATTTTTTCATCAGAATAATATGTTGACGGTGCGACCGTTAGAGCGAGCGCAAACTCTTCTATTGTTTTAATTTAGATCGGGCTCGTCAAACCGCACGTGACATTTTGTGCGTCTAGACTCTGACGTCACATGACGTCTTACAATACCAAGAAAAAACTGAACAGTGCTGAAAGTTAATGAAAAAAGTTACGTTTACAATTTATCTTCAATATGTATCCATTTAATCAAGGCGAGTAAACTTTTTGTTGAACATTTGCCGGCGTTTTCGCGAGAACGCAACTTTGCTAAGTGATGCATTGTGGGTCAAAATTACTGCGGCAAAAAATTCTAAAGAATGAATGTGCAGTAGTCCGAATTTTCTCTTCGCCCAGGCGTTGTCGTTAGAGCTCGCAGTTACGAGCGTCGCTTCGCGACGCTCGCTGCGCTCGCTATAAACGTACGTGTATGATTCATGTGAGAAATTCATTCAACTCTGTAAATGAGCCCGGCTCTCTGAGTACTTTGATTTATCTTTTAATTTCTCTCTAAAGAACTTTTTACTCAGCTGGAAAAGCCATCATTTAATTGACATCAACTCGGCACTCATAGCCATTCAGCGGTAAGGGATATTTTCTGCGGTAACCCCTGCCGTGAAATGGGAACAAAGATCTAAAGGCCTCATTCGGAGGACTAAACTTTCTTTTAAAATTCCAAGGAAAGAATGTTATCTTTTTTCAAAAACAAGTGTCCTAGTTAACATTCAACTTTAAAAAGAATTCATGATTTTTTTTTATTTTCATGGTTATTAACTCCATTGAATGACAAAAGGAGTAAATAATACTTGATTGATAAACCTGCACCGATCTGTCTCCCTAAACATACGGTTATAAGGATACATGTAAATAAACAACGAGCTTTTTTTCAGAAATCAGCAATACTTATCATAGATTTATATTGAAATTGATAACCTGAATAATATTTACCAAGTGTTGTGGAAGAATTGTATAAGATTACATCCCATGTTCAAAATCAAAGTACTGAAAGTACTCATGGGAGTTGAACATGGTGTAAAATAAAATATTTGATCGGGAGGTTAAGTGAGTGAAGAGTATTATTATTTCAAATACAGACAACTGTTTAAGATTTTTTGTGTTGCAACAATCTTGAGAAAGACATTCAGAGACATTGAATAGCCAAAAAATGCATGGGCCATAATGCTTGCCTGGCTTCATTAGTTCTTTTTATACCCCCTGCTTGAAAAGCGGTAGGGTATATATTAATCGGGATGTCCGTCCATCTGTTTGTTACGCTTTAGATATACCCATCTCATCTCCGCAACTCCTCTTACACCACTGAACGAAATTTTCATAGAATCTTTATTACACATTGCCGTTGTGCGCCTTCGATTACTTTTTCAGCCTACACATATTTTCGGTTTCCCATTGCAAAACATGGATACTGCCATTATATTCATATTAGAGGCGGTTGATCATTTATATAATTCACTGCTCACAGTACCTCTAGTTCATCTTCAAATTTGTAATATTTTTTTTTCTTGGCACCTTTACCCATGTGTTATGAAAATTTCAGTTTAACAGGAATGATATCAATGGAGATAAAATGTGGATTTACACACAGCATCCTTTTAAGAGCTAAGAGGTTTGTTATATAAAACTTCTCTGTGAATATAAATGTATTTCAATTACACGAAGTCAACATTATACATGTAGTACGTCTGAACTTATTTTTTTAATATTGTGAAGAAACAAGCAATACCAAGTTAAAAACAAATATTTAATTACCAACCTAAAAACAGTAGTATATGTGATAGTTTGTGTGCGTAAAAATTATCTGGTATGAAAATGAGGTTTTCCTTTTATTTAAAAAAAAATATATACTTCATTTTGTTGTTTTAATCGGAATACTACGAAAACATCAGTGTCTGTTTTTGCCATGGTTTTAACATTTATAACAGAGTACTAGATTTGCCGCTTTTTGGCAGGTGATACTGCTTATTTAGTAATAAATACGCATGTTTTTCTAAAGTTTTTATGCATTAATGAATTCATTAAAACCAAGAAACTGTTCATGAAAAGAACACATTCTGTGCATCGGTAAAAAGAAATTGCTGAAAATCCAAAATCCGGGACCGTCGGGAGTCGGGCGGACTAGATTTACCGCTTACCGTCAGTATGTAGAGTTGTCGTTCGTACCTCTTTCAATGTTTATGGAAAAAGAGTACCAAAGACCCAGATTTTTACATCATTTCCTGGTTGAACAAGATGAAGCAGAGTAATAAATGGGTAGGCTTTAACTGATTGGCTGAATTCAGGTATGTAAATATTTTCATTTTAAAGTAAAAATATTAATGTTTGAAATAAATGATGGAATGTGAGAATATTACAGAAAATATAGAAATACCAGGGATTGTAGGGGGGGGGTTGATATTTTTGGCAAGTGCGTAGTATGAAGGGTGTAAAGAGGCCCATATTTACCCTTTCCTCGAAGAGAAAGTGAAAAAAGCAGGGTAGAGGTTATAACGATGCCATAAAAGGACTTGCAGAGTATGAATGTTCCTGAGAAGTTGATAAATTTTTGGACTTAAAATAGTTTTACTCTGTGCTAAGTTTTAGGTAAGCTGGGCCGGTGTATTTTTTAAAAATATTTTTTATGTTATAAAGGAATGTATAGCAAAATAATTGACAGTCTGTGTCCATTTGGTGCCATTCTCTACCCAGAGTCATCGTTCCACTTATACGAAGCGAACGACAACTCTGGGTACAGATTGATTTGGTGCGTCTAGACTCTTACGTCAAATGATGTCGTATGTAAGTTACATTTCCGAAAAGAAGCCTGAACAGTGCTGAAAGTAAATGAAGAACGTTTCGTTTACTATTTATCTTCAATATTTATCCATTAAATCAGGGCATGTTTACTTTTAGTTGAACATTTGCCGCTATTCTCGCGAGAACCTAGCTTTAACAAGTGATGCATTATGGGTCCAAATTAATGCGTCAAAAACTTCTATCGAATGAATGTGCAGTAGTCCGAATTTTCTCTTCGCACAGGCGTTGCTTTAAGAGCTCGCAGTGATGAGCGTTGCGACGCTTGCTGCGCTGGGTATAAACATCACCGGATGTTAAAAATTTATAAATTACAAATAAGAAATACTATAAAAAACTTTAATTTTATACACACCCCTCCCTAAATAACCAATAATTTCTTCAAGGGAAACACAATATTTGTCGCGTTTGTTATATATACACAAATGTCTGTGTTACATGAATGTTCGAGGTTTTCCTGCTCTTGTACAGTATTACTCTTTCTCACAGATGAACTGGAATGTCTTCGTACAATACATGTCATTTCCGGTCCCGTCCCTCTGAAGAACGACGCATGCAGGGACACTACCACCGCTGTTAGGTTGGTTTGGCGCCCATTGAGGAAACACAACTCCCGTTTCGCTTTGTTTCCATAGAAATTCGTCCGGAGGCAATTCACTTCTTGCACCAACCCAAACTGAACAGCTGAAGAAGTGAGGACATATTGCTTCAACTACAATGCCAAAGCATATTAATCGTAGCATTTATAGTGGAGAGATAGGGTTTTGTTTTTAAACGTAGAATTTAATAAATGGAATATTTCAAAGTAAAACAAATATGCCAAAGGTTAATGTGATTTTACATTTATGTAAAGGAAAAGTTTTAAGTGTTAATGATCGAACTTAACATCATTTTCTCTCTCCAATTTAAAGGGGTGGAGATTTTTACGCATACAGACAAGGAATTACCGGTACACGTTTTTAAACACGATTATCTTTTGAATTGTTTTTTTATTCATTAGAATACATGTATAATATGTATGCTTATATGTATATTTGAAAAGAAAAGAACATACTGTATTTATCAAAATTCAATTTCATTTTAAGAAATGAACAACTCACCACCAGTTACAGGCAAAAGAAATGACTCTGTGATCCAAATACTTTCTAAGTCGGAATTCATTTCTATCAAGTACGAGCTTCTTTGTTCACATTGAGCCTTAAATATACAGTATAAGAAAAAAAACACATTATTTTGTTTAATTCTGTATGAAAAATATTTAAACTTCCATCTAAAATATATTCGGACGATGCTTATTTTTTTCTACACCCTTTATCATCAATGAAATTTGTATGCATATTTACTTTTCAAGGGATTGATCGCTGTCCATTATATTAACATTTTAATTTCATGGGATCGGTTGTTATTCGTAACATTCTCCTTTTTCATTAAAAAAAACCATTCACATTCCAAAAAAATGTTAACATATTTAAATAAAGCATAGGGTTGATTGTATGTTGTTTAACGTCCCTCTTGAGAATTTTTCACTAATATGGAGACGCCACCACTTGACGGTGAAAAGCTGCAAATTTAGTCCTATACTCTGCACTTAAAGCTAGTTAGCTAGGTTGCTTCAATAAACTATAGTTTTATGTACGACTTGACAATACCACTTTAATTAACCTGGTAAATTCGGGTCGCTTGGATATCAGTAAGTTTTACTTCGTAAATGTATTTGCGCATTCTTATATAACTGTGCGTATTTTAAGACAGTCTGTATGAATTAACATGTCTTCTCGGATGTTAAGTAATTGAAATAATTGGACGAACGTCGCGGTTTCATTACCAAATTCCAACAAGTGTCTGGGAATTAGGGGTGCACGTTATTCCTGAAAGCCGTAAATACAATTCACAAGTTCAATTGACCTCTCGATGTACATTGTTAATTTTCATTACCAAAAAAATGCGTATTGCCTGGAACAGTGAGATATACTTAGGTAGGTAAATAACTATACCTGTAACATCAATCTCTACCCAGAGTTGTCGTTCGCTTCGCTACAACACCTCTTTCAAGTCTAAATGCCAAGATTCGTGACAAAACTTACTTTCACCTATTGCATAATAAATTATGAATGTAAAACTTCTATATTCTTCTGTAACATGTTAAAAAAAGTTTATTTATGAGAATTAGAATCAGACATCGCTTTTTCACCATGTCCTATAAGGGAATATTTCTCGGCAGGATATTAGGAACGTGGAAAATTTAGAATGCATTGCCGATAAATATCAACATGATTTAGGTTTTATAGACAAATAACTTGCAGCATTAACACATATATAGAAATGTAAATGTGTTAATCTTCTTGTGGACAATTTTAAACAACATTTGAAAAAAATTCACGTCCCTCCGCTTCCGTACTACTTTTAAGACGTTGACAAAGGTATAAGTGGAACGATAACTCTGGGTAGAGATTGCTATAGCATACGTGATGTGTTTCTGTCCAATTACGTATGCATGTTATGCCCCCTCCCCACTAAAATGCTATGCAATTTGATTATTAAAAATAGACGACCCCCACCCCGATAATTTTGTTGGAAAAATAAATAGTGCTGAAAAACATTTTTATTTTCCTCATCTTAAACTAAACTTTACTACCCCAAATTAGGTATCCATGTAATGCCCCCCAAACCAAGACGCTGAGCTCTTTGTTTTTTGTACGCAAAAAAAATGGATCAACAACAACACCCCGCCCCATAATACTTTTGTCAAAAGTAAGGGAGTTGATCCCAACGTTGCGGATTCGAATCCCACTGTGGGACATGGGGACTGGTCCTTCGAATAAGACCGTGTAAACCAAGGGTCTATGTCCCAATAGATGCTGGCACAAAAAGATCCCTCTGCTCAATGGCCGTCAGTGATTGTTATAGGGGAAAATGTGCAGCTCTCCACCGGCAAGCCTTCATATGAGCAAAAAAAAAAATTCCTGAGAGGGACATTAAACAAAATACATTGTACTATCAATCTTTAACAAGTTTAGCATCCATCTAGAGAATTTATCCCCATTAGAAATTACCATTACCAGTCACAAGTTCCTGTCGCGAGGGTATGCTCCGCTTAGCAGTGCCCTTGTTGTTCATTATTTCCATATATTTCATTGAAAAATACAGAGACATATATTAATACATATGTTTTAACAAAAAAGTAAACAAAAGAAAACAATACCACTGCCTCATCCCAAGTTGCTTCTCTTTCCTCGAGATAGTAACAATGGCTGTTGAAAGGAACCCAGCCTTCATCACAAGCTGAAATGAATGTCTATGAACTTTTTTCTTATCTAAGAATGTACAACCATATATCTATGCATGAACGACAAAATCTTTTTATTAAATTCAAGATACAATATTGTAAGAAAAGAACCTGTCAGCATGTAGATTAGAAAATTACCGTCCTTCTTTATTTTTCTTAAGTTTTCACAAATAAGAAATATGTCGCTATTGTAAATATTCAGAAGTTTTTTTTTGCGAGCTTCTAGTGATTATTGCAGCCCGGATGACTGGGCTGCTCTATACATATAAGTTTAAGTGTTGGTGAATGGAGATTAAGGTGGGAATAGTTATTCAGAATTAAAGGTTTTCAAAACATTAAAAAGATTGTTTATCAGAATGTTCTTTCCCATTATAAATTACGAAATACATAATATATTTACTTCCATAAAGTGAATTTGTAAAAGTATATATGTTTTTGATATTTAATAAATAAAGTTGCTTATCATTAATAACTATCGAAAAAATGACAGGTCCCCTTTTTTAGAACATCGAATTTTACTTATCGCATAAAAACGTACTCTGCATAGTTTGTGTTTTATATTCTTAAAGTGAAATACATTTTTAAAAATAGATGATGCATGAGTGATGAGTTTAGTTTCAATTTATATTTTATGCATCCATCATTTACTTGAGGAATTGATAAAGTTTAAAAAGGGCATCGTTTTTGTTCAATTTTAATCCGACTATAAGTTTTCAAAATCTTCTCGACTATCGTCTCCATCATTTAGACGTATGCCTTTTTCACACATATCGAAGCGGTTTGATGATCAAGGCTCATTTCCATTGTTTACTTTATTTATTTCCCGGGCGACAATTGATGGTTACATCAATGTTTTCTTGTTATAAACAGTAATCCATTTACTTAATGTACATGTATAATGCTGCTCAGTCATATTTATCCGATATCATTACAATATTGCAGACAAGTCATTCTCGTATTTATACATAATTTTTTTTAATGTGCAGTAGTACAGCTTTTCCTTTTTTTTTCCTTAAATAAGGTTTCTATTACGATGATTAAAAAAAATAATGTATTTCTTTTGAAATTTAAAAAATGATTATTGGCTTTTTCTAATCAACTTATTTCAATAATGGTACTATATTTCCTGTTTCAAAAACCCTATGGTTATATATATTTTTGGATATGTACCATTAAATATAAACTTAATTAAAATATTTTCGAACGATCTTTTCCCCGTTTTTTAATCAATGAAAGACATATTCTTAACTAATTACATAAAAAAAGATATTTTCAAAATTGCATGCATGTACATTCTGGGGCCCCTTTTTACAAAAGAACTTGCGACTAAAACCAAAATTCATTTCTGCCTATACATTGCCTATACATTGCAACTTCATTATTACTTCCAGGTTTAATGGGCTTTCGACGGAATGTATTAAGGTATTTCTCCAATACATGTAGCATTTTCTCAGCAAGAATCAATTTAGGAAGAATCGAATTTTTCAAAATTAATCATTTAAAGTTATTTAGCATTTTATGTGGATTTACAACTCGGAAATTCAAGGGATAACAAGCTAATTCAAAGAATCGGTGGCCCTTACCTAAGATGAAGCGGAGTATATGCGTGTATCTAGGGGATCGAAATGGGGTAAGACACTTAAAGAAGGACAGACGTGTCATAGGAAGTAAAATCTACAAGGCTTCTTTAGTTATTGAATATACATCGATGACTTTACGATATTGCCCTTTGACCTCAAAATAAATAGGCCATATGACTTTATGGTACAAATTTTCAATGCAAAAGCTTAAAAGGTTCACAAGATATTGCGCAGGAACGAAAGAATTCAAACAGAGAAATTATGAATTTATAATCTTGACCTTTGAGCCTCTATATTGCTATGGTCTCTCTTAAGCCAAAAGGGAGTTGCTGTGTAACATATCTTTATTCTCTTTCTTTATTTCTTTAATATCAAATTCTCAAAAGTTTCTCGAGATATCGCGGGGAAACGGATGTGATATAGATAGAAATCAATACAGACGGAGGAGAGACCGACCAAAATTAATAACCCCCACCTTTTGAAAGCGGGGGACGCAGAATAGTTGTGAGATTAAACATCTTACCTCGAACATTTGCCCAATATTCCCACCGCCCTTCTTCTGAGGTGTTGCTTGTTAAACTCAGAATTTTGTCACTCAGATGAAGTGTCAAAAGCTTACAGAATTTAAGATTTTCGCTGTACAAAAGACTCGCGCATTTAGGTAAATGTCTTAAGCACATGTAAAAACACATCGACTGATCGATTCCTTCTACAGTTGTGATACATAATTCTGTTTTGTTTGGTGTTTTATAGTCAAATGAAGAATTGCGCTTAAAAATTTGTTCCTTGTATAAAGGTCCAGTTGCACAAGCTTTCCCGACACAAAGAACGGTAACCGCAAAAAGAAGGACTTTATCTTTTCCGTGACTGCAAACCATTTCTAATTATCGAAAGGTATCCTAACCAGATTGCTCGAAAAACCAAATCTTTTTAAAGAGTGGCTTCTAAACCAAATGTTTGATCTAACATTTCCGAAGATATAGAATATTAATGAAACGGATTTGATTAAATCATCTTAATATTGTCCCTGCATTGAGGATACATAAAAGCAATTTTCAATAACATGACGTTTGTTTTCTTTGAAAAAATTGTTTAATTCGATTCCTCTATCGCATATCTATACAATAAGTTATTTATTTTCTTTTAATTATTGCTGAAGAATAAGAAAACACATAACGAGCCAATTAACTAATTACTCATGCATGAGTATTTACAAATGAAACTGAACATACATTAACAGCTGTCAATTATTCGGACTAAAAAATAAACCATGAAAAAAAGAAGTATCCTAATGACCATCTTCATATGTATTATGGAGAACATAATTAGAAGATCACTCAGGTTTGAGACATAGCAAACAGCAATTATATAATTATGTATTATGGATAACATAATTAGAAGATCACTCAGGATTGAGACATAGCAAACAGCAATGATTAAAACCCATCTAGACCGTATCTAGCCTGGGGAAAATATGTAAACATTAACTTTAACATTCAAATTAGTTGTTAATTTTCACCGATAGGATTGATTGAGTAGCATTCAAAATTCAAATTTTCTTTGGTAGTTTTTATTTCATTAAAAGCTTCAATGCTGCAAATTATTTTATAAACAACGTTTTACCGTTCTTGTAAAGTGTTTAAGGTTTTTTTCATAGGTCAACATGTCCAAAAAATTATTTTTACAATATCTCCAAAACTATGTGGTTTATAAAGTTAAAGCTTTTGCAATTTATGAATATATCATTGTTTAACATATAGAAAGTATCAATTGAAAACAAATATTTAAAAAATATATATTTATCGAGAAAAATATATCAAAAAATTGCATATTTTAAAAAATGCACCAATCCTTCTTAATTCTGTACCTTTGGTGACAACCACCATTGCAGAAACTTGAGCCGAGCTCCGAGCTCGTTGCAAAGCAACAAGTATTAAAGTCTTCCGTTGGAGCTGTAAACAGAAATATGAAGTTACGACATTGGGTAAAGATCATTGCACTTTCTTATGTGAACAACCTCCTTTCTCCGCATGAGCCTCCAGTGAATCTCAATTACAATGATATGCTTCAATTAAACCTTTTCTTTCTCTGCCAGCGACCTTGATTTGCCAGAAAGACCTGTGATCAAGGACATGACACAACCTCCAATCATAAGTAATCTTTGTTTCAAGTAAAAGACGCCAAAAATTTTCATTTACTCACTCGTAGCGTGGAAAAGAAATTATGTTTTTCGGTCATTCATAGCGTTGAAAAGAAAATATGTTTTTCTGTCAGTGACCTTGATCTTGAAGGAATAGCGTTGAGTTTGTGTCAATTTTTTTTTCAATTTCTTCATTGCAAAATACATAAGTCTTATAGCATTTTGTATTAATAATACAATATATACAAAGAAAATAATCGGAAATGGATGGTCAGTCCTTGTAAATCCCTATGAAACATGCACATATATACATACAAACTCATATTAACAGTCTTTACAGTTCATATGGAGAAGGGCATGAGATTAATTCAAAGTACATGTAATGTATAGTAGTTATAGTCATATCAACAATATAAAAGTAACAAAGTAATGGCATACTATGACATGATTAAATCATTTCTAAGCGAGAGGGCTTTTTAAATAAACTTCCCTAAATTACATAATTCTTTTGCATTATTCACACTTAGCAACTGTATTATATTTGTACATAGATGGCCTATACCATTAATATTTTTTCAAAAACTTTGATCGCAATGTTGAATAAATTGGGCATACAAGTAAAAAATGATATTTTACAGAAGCTTTTGTCTCTTGTTATTTTTTTATGTCTACCCGTTTCAATAAAAAGATTATGCGAGGACAACCTCATTTTAGAAATACATTTTTTGTCCACCTTTGGTATCGATTTTTCTAAATAATATTGCAAGCAAAAATTGTCAATTAAATGCTTATAAATATAACATTTTGATTCTGTTTGCATTTTGCTTTATAAGGTTTGTATAAAGTGATCATTAAGTCTTTGACGAATGATCGGCAGACAAATATGACTATGTGTTGCTAATTGTTTTTGAGCGATGAGGAATTTACAGTTATAGAATCACAATGCCTAAATAAACAAATTGGTCCACTATTTCTATATTTTCACCATAATAAGTCCATTTTGCATTTGCGCGGACTTTCCCGCCATTTCTAAAAACAATAACTTTACTTTTTGATACATTTACATCTAGACCCCACTCGTACGTATATAACTCTAGTGTATTTACAGGCACGTAGTATCCGGGGGGGCAGGGGGGGGCCTGCCCCCCCCCCACTTTTTTCTCCAACATTACCTTTACTATAGAAAATGTCTATTGAAAAGATGGTTGCCCCCCCTACTTTTTACCAAAGTATATACATAGCAAGAAAACATAGGA